GGACGATGGCATCGGGCTGGGAGGGGGCACAGAGGGATGGTGGCATTGGGATGGGAGGGGGCATGGGGGGACAGTGATATCAGGTTGGGAGGGGGCAGAGGGGGATGATGGCATTGGGATGGGAGGGGGTTCAGGGGGACAGTGTCATTGGGCTGGGATGGGGCAGAGGGGGGCGGTGGCATCGGGCTGGGAGGGGGCACAGGGACGGTGGCATCGGGCCAAGCTGCTTGTGTGAGCAGGAGCATGAAGTGGAGCTGGGGACGGGGGCTGGGACCACAAACAAACAGAGAGTCCATGAATTCCAGCTCCACAAACCCGCCTTTCGCAAGTCCTTTAATGGTTGCGTCACCGGTGACGGGACACGATGGGACACAGAGCTGCTCCTGGGGCCCCTCGGCACCGACCCCGTCCCCCCCCGCAGGCGGGAGCCACCTTCCCCGGGTCCTGGGATGGGGACGGGGCTGGGTGATGCCACGTCCCTCCTGGGGGCTTGGGGTGACCCCCGACCAGTCCCCGGTGGGGACAGAGACCTGTGGGGACCACCCCATCCCCAGCGGGTGGCACTGGGTGGCCACACGGGAGCAACCCCAGGGTCAGACAGAGTGGCTACCATCGCTGGCATGATGGTGGCCAGAACCTCCTGGCTCCTTCCCCAGCGGTGCCCGGGGGTATCTCAGTCCTCTGCACCAGGGGTCTGGAGGGGCTGGGGGGGTCCAGAGGGGCTGGGGGGGTCCATGGGGACGGTGGTGATGCTAATCAAGGCCCGGTATAACGAAGCAGACAGAGCAGAGCCCCCAGCACTGGTGCTTCTCACCATTTATGGCAGAATTTGGCCACTCTCCGGGCTGTTGGTCCCCACTGCCCCAGGACGGGGGTGGCACCGCGGGCTGGGTGGCACCAGCCTGTGCCGGTGGCCAGATGAGTCTGAGCGGAGGCAGACCCAGCTCGAGGCCACTGGCGTGTCCCGGGGCTGCGGGGGGTCCCAGGGGGTCCCCGGGGGGGTCCCGGGGGGGTCAGATGGCCACGCAGCACGGGCGCTTCTCCGTCTGCGCCGGGGCCGTGACCTCCGGGCTCTCGCTGGCGAGTGACACCGTGTTGCTCTGGTTGCTCCTCTGCTTCTGCTTCTGCACCTTGTGGAAGATCTCTGCGGGACGAGAGGTGCCAGGGGTGGGGGGGGTCTGTGTGGCACCCACGGGCTCCCCAGCCCCCCCCTGCTCGCCCCGTGACCCTCGGCTTGGCACGTTGGTGGCTCCCCTTCCCCTTTGTGCAGAGGGGACGGGCTGAGGGGTGAGAAGGGAGCAGCCCCCCCCCAGGTTACATCCCTGCGGCCCATCCCCAGCGGGTGGCACTGGGTGGCCACACGGGAGCAACCCCAGGGTCAGACAGAGTGGCTACCATCGCTGGCATGATGGTGGCCAGAACCTCCTGGCTCCTTCCCCAGCGGTGCCCGGGGGTATCTCAGTCCTCTGCACCAGGGGTCTGGAGGGGCTGGGGGGGTCCAGAGGGGCTGGGGGGGTCCATGGGGACGGTGGTGATGCTAATCAAGGCCCGGTATAACGAAGCAGACAGAGCAGAGCCCCCAGCACTGGTGCTTCTCACCATTTATGGCAGAATTTGGCCACTCTCCGGGCTGTTGGTCCCCACTGCCCCAGGACGGGGGTGGCACCGCGGGCTGGGTGGCACCAGCCTGTGCCGGTGGCCAGATGAGTCTGAGCGGAGGCAGACCCAGCTCGAGGCCACTGGCGTGTCCCGGGGCTGCGGGGGGTCCCAGGGGGTCCCCGGGGGGGTCCCGGGGGGGTCAGATGGCCACGCAGCACGGGCGCTTCTCCGTCTGCGCCGGGGCCGTGACCTCCGGGCTCTCGCTGGCGAGTGACACCGTGTTGCTCTGGTTGCTCCTCTGCTTCTGCTTCTGCACCTTGTGGAAGATCTCTGCGGGACGAGAGGTGCCAGGGGTGGGGGGGGGCTGTGTGGCACCCACGGGCTCCCCAGCCCCCCCCTGCTCGCCCCGTGACCCTCGGCTTGGCACGTTGGTGGCTCCCCTTCCCCTTTGTGCAGAGGGGACGGGCTGAGGGGTGAGAAGGGAGCAGCCCCCCCCCAGGTTACATCCCTGCGGCGCCCGGGGAACACCCTGCGCTTGGGCAACTTCCTCTTGCCCAACCTGGGATTAGTGCTTCACCCCGCGCCGCGGCTGGCACCTCACCCGGCCAGGCTGGCTTGGCTCAGCACAGCATGGCACGGCATGGCATGGCATGGGACAGCACAGCACATCACAGCATGGCACAGCATGACACGGCACGTTATTGCATGGCATGGCACAGAACAGCATGGCATGACACGGCACAATGTGGCATAGCACAACATGGCACCACATGGCATAGCATGGCACGGCACAGTGTGGCACAGCAAGGCACAGCACAGCAAGGCATGGCATAGCATGGCATGGCATAGCATGGCATAGCATGGCATAGCATGGCATGGCACAGCACAGCACGTATGGCACAGCACAGCACATCAAGCCATGGCACAACATGGCATGGTATGGTATGGCACAGCATGGCACGGCACAGTGTGGCACAGCGTGACACGGCACGGTATTGCATGGCATGACACGGCAAAGCACAGCATGGCACGGCACAGCATGGCATGGCACAACATGGCATGGCACAGCATTGCATAGCACAGCACAGCATGGCACGGCATGGCACAGCATGGCACAGCACAGTGTGGCACAGCAAAGGACAGTATGGCACAGCAAGGCATGGCATGGCATGGCACGGCACAGTGTGGCATAGCATTGCATAGCACAGCATGGCACAGCATGGCATAGTGTGGCGTGGCACAACATGGCATGGCACAGCATGGCATCGCATGGCATGGCATGGCACAGCATGGCACAGCACAGTGTGGCACAGCAAAGGACAGTATGGCACGGCAAGGCATGGCATGGCATGGCACGGCACAGCGTGGCACAGCATGGCATGGCACAGCAAGGCATGGCACAGCATGGCACTGTGGCACAGCATGGCATGGCACGGCACAGTGTGGCACAGCAAAGCACAGCACGGCACAGCAAGGCATGGCACAGCATGGCACAGCATGGCACAGCATGGCATGGCATGGCATGGCACGGCACAGCGTGGCACAGCATGGCATGGCACAGCTTGGCATGGCATGGCACAGCATGGCATGGTATGGTATGGCATGGCACAGTGTGGCACAGCAAAGCATGGCACGGCATGGCATGGCACAGCATGGCACAGCACAGTGTGGCACAGCATGGCATGGCATGGCACGGCACATCTCCTCATGCTGCTGCCCCGGTGCTGCCGTTCCCGGCGCGCTGCTCCTGGCCGGGCATGACCCCTCGCCATCCCCGTCCCCCCGGGCCCCCCGGCCGGTCGGGCAGGGTGCCGGAGACACTGAGTCAGGAGCCCGGGACAGCAGGAAGGGCA